GAGAGAGAGAGAGAGAGAGAGAGAGAGAGAGAGAGAGAGAGAGAGAGAGAGAGAGAGAGAGAGAGAGAGAGAGAGAGAGAGAGAGAGTGATGTTCCCAAAAGATAACAGGGGAATTAAAAAAGATGAACGGTCACTGATGTTTGTGGAATGGCTGGGCGGAGAGCCACGAAGTCAGGACAAACCGGTCTTGCAGCAAAACTCTTGCTGTGATTCGAATGAGTCCGCACCAGATGGCCAAAGCATATAATATGAGATTGAAAAGGAGAACTCAAAAGGCCTATTACCCTTGATAATCATGATGATGATGATGGTGATGATGATGATGATGATTGATCGTCAACGTTACCCTACGATTGCGTAATAGCGCAATCATACGGTAGCGTTAACCATCTATCATCATCAAAATATGATAGTTGGTCATGATTAGAACAGATTGATGATGCACCAACGTGCCTGGCTCAGTTGATACACGCATGAACTGTTGAAATACAGACCCAAGCTCGAATCCAGATGACTGACATACAATAATTCTGAATTTCCTGTTGCCCTTCAAAAAAGGGCGGATTGATGTGTGCAGGCAATAGGGCAATCATGCAGTCGGCCAATCAGGGAATCGACAACGTGCACAATCAGGGAATTGATCTTGATCAGAATGCATGTAGCATGCACGCATGTAGCAGATCTTCTTCTTCTTCTTCTTCTGGCATCTTTTCGCAGTTTTACTTCAACCTCCCCTCCCGCACATCGAACTCCACTGACCCCAATGGCATCAACCTCTTCTTCTGCAACCTTCCCCTCGCGGATCAACCTCCCCCAGCACCCTCCGCCATGAACCCCTCTGCATCCAATCCCCCGTCTCCCCTCCTCGCCCCGCACCCCAAACAGCTCCCCAAAGAAGTTATGGGATGCAGTGTTTCTTCGTTCCGGCGAACTGTAGGTGAGCGCAATCGAACCCCGCTGCCTTTTTTCTTTTTTCTTTTTTTAAGGGCTGTTTCAGGCCCACCCGAATGTCCAGTTGGACCACCTGAACAGGCCGGCCTGTGCAGAACTGTCCCGGCACTGCCTCAGCCCTGATGAAAAAGCACTAGCAGCCCTTTTGGAGTAGTGAACTGCACGCACTTGACAAGAACCCAGCAACCACTGATCACACATTGTTCTCCACATGCATGCCACAAAACTTAAAAACTGAAAAACTGTCTGTCGTCTTCTTTTCCTCATCTAGTGCACAGCACCACATCAGCAAAGATGTTTACCTTCCACTCCATTACCATTGGCAAGCACTTGCGAGCTGTGAATCTTCACTTCATCATCGTACAACCTTTTGTACATGGCCAACTGCAGCCAAGACATCACAAATACATCAGCAAAAAATATAACTCATACCTGAGCAAACAGCATCGCACCTTGCTCCATTGCTAACAAGATGGCCCATTGTCTTACTGTGCAAATTATCCACTGAGAAACAGTGGAGCTTCAACGCGCAGACATGTAAGGAACTGAAATGTATAATCACACGGGATGCATGTTGCATGAAAAACTGAACAATTTTAACCCGCACTTTCCATTTTATTAAAGCACCACTTTCCCTATGGTGCAACAGATGCCCGCTAGTATAAAGTACTATAAATGCAGGCAGTCAGTTGAACCAGTAGCTGCCCAACAGTGGCCTGCCAAGGGTCCAAAAAAAAAAAAAGCAGGTACTGCCAGTGGCTGTGGTATGGTGATCTGCACGGCTGGCGATGCCCAGCAGCCTCCCAATCCGACTTGGCTCCCATCCGCTGCAGTTCAAAAACTGCAAAGACAGCGAAGCAATGAGTTCCACATGATAGATTTAAAAAAAGTGGTGGTTTAAACCACCAGTACCTCCCCCAGGCAAACTTGATCTGTAAGTAATACCACCCACTTTTTGTTGAGGGAAAATTTCGAAGAACGACAAAAGCCATTTAACTGGTTTTGTTTCAAGATTCAAATGGAACTGTTTTCATATTAAAAGACAGAGAGAGAAATACAAAGGGAGAGACACATGATGGACATGACGACGCTATGGCAGAGGGAGGCGCAGGAGGGGGAAGTAGAGGGGGACGCACAGGTGAGGTGGAGGTGGAGGTGGAGTGGGATAGGGAAAAAAACGGAAAATCCTACATGGTGTGTGTGTGTGTGTGTGTGTGTGTGTGTGTGTGTGTGTGTGAGAGAGAGAGAGAGAGAGAGAGAGAGAGAGAGAGAGAGAGAGAGAGAGAGATTGTGGGGTGGATGTTGTGCCTTTCAAAGATTTAGAGTTGTATCGATCGGATTTTGTGACTTCCAAAGATTTTGTTCAGACCAAAAAGACTACAATGGCTGTCTCTTATACACATCTAGATGTGTATAAGAGACAGGTGTGTGTGTGTGTGTGTGTGTGTGTGTGTGTGTGTGTGTGAGAGAGAGAGAGAGAGAGAGAGAGAGAGAGAGAGAGAGAGAGATTGTGGGGTGGATGTTGTGCCTTTCAAAGATTTAGAGTTGTATCGATCGGATTTTGTGACTTCCAAAGATTTTGTTCAGACCAAAAAGACTACAATGGTGGGCAAACACATCAATCTACAACCAAACTCAAACTTGTGAGGGCGAAGTGACAAGAATTGGGTAAAACGATCCTTTTTGAATTCAGATTGTATTACAAGGAAACCTGGTTTGGGAGGATTTGGAAGAATGGACTTCAGACAAGAGACTAAAGCATTCCAAGTGAAATGGGTGGTCGAGATCTTATTTAAGTTAAAATAACCAATCACTGCCATGGGATAAACTCACCTTAGACAGTATCCAATCCCTTGCCCCCACGGAAAGCCCACCCAAAATGTGTGGTTTATTTTGGATACAATGGATAGTGAACAAAGATTGGCATCCAAAAACAGGCTGCGAGCGACAAAGACAAAGATCAACTCCTGAGGTGGCCCCTACCCTACTGGACAGCACTGATCAGAGTATGCAGCCAAAAACAATCAGCCAGCTCAGGCCTACAGAAGTACTCCGACAACCATTATTTGGGAACCCATGGGTCAGGTATGATGGCAACGACCCTTTAACGTTGACCGGCAAAGATAGGAGATGGTTATCATAGATTGAGCATGGTATATGGAAACAAGCCATATTCGGAATAGCGAAGAGAAGGAATGTGGTGGCGCGAGGTCCACACAAACTCTACTGTCAATAAAAGAAACAGCCGTAGAAACAGTCGATATCCGTGAAATGGCTGTGCAATGGCTAAGGACACACCTGTTCTTTGAGTGCCTTGATAGCTTCATCTCTCTGCTCCATTCTCTCCTTTAACTCCAAAAGCGCTTTGCGGTTGGCTTCGTTTCTCTTGGATAATTGTTCATCAAATGCTTTCTGAGATACGCACAGAAACGAAACAATTTTACACCACCTTTCCCAAAACAGTATGGACTATGGAGTCCATAAAATTATTTACCTTTACCAATCAGCTCCTGCATATGCATGTTAAACCACCTGCCTCGACCTCCCTGTCTTCCATCTTCTAGAGAGCAGCATAGAGTAATTCAGTGACCGTTTTAAAATTATGCATTCTTAAACCACCAGTACTTCCTAAAGTCGTGCCCGTAAACGCGCCACGATTTTAGGAAACGTACGGGCCACTTCAGGAGCACCCAAATTCATCCAACTAGAAACGTTTCTACTCTATTTTTTTCTGCGGCCGATAGCTGGGCCGAGTACTGGTGGTTTAACTTCTCCTAAAAGAAACTGACAAATCCCTCCACATCAGACTTATATTTATTTTGTCAATCACCTACGGCTGAAGCATTTAGTGGATTCTTCTCGAGTGAAGAGTGATTGCCAAAAGTATCCACCTCAGGTTTACCTGTGCTTGCTAAGTGTCTTTTTCGTCTTCTTTCTATTCTCCTTTTCGAACAACTATTTTCTATTTTTTTATTCGATGATGCACCTTGCCTACTCAAACAGAGAGCCTTGCAATTGTTCATTAATAGTCAGTTTAACTGCCATGGCTGGAGCATGGTGGTTTATTGTTCATCTTCTTACTAACATTATTATAATCATCTCCTTCTCCTTCTCCTCCACCTCCTTTACCACCTCCTCTTCCTCCACCAGTTTTCCGATGCACTGCCACTTCACATTCAATCCTCACAATTCCACACAACTATCACTACCTCCAGAATTCTATTATTATTTTGTATTCTAATTCTTCTTCCCCTTCTTATTATTACTGTTCTTTTTCTTCCCCGCCTCCTCCTCCTTTACCTCATCTTCTTCCACCAGTTTTCTAATGCGACTAGATGACCCGTTGCGGCTTCGCCCGCAAAAACAGAAAAGGAAAAAAAGCACAAAAGAAAGAAAAAGCATAAGGAACTCCCCTATCATATTCCGCCGAGCCTTTTTTTCCCTTTATCTTTGAGTGTTTTGTTTGGGGAACCATTACCTTCGCAGCATCGTTTTTGTTTTGTGATGTGCAAGAACTCCTCCACTTTTCTGAGAAAATCCTGTCCATTGTCCCGTTGATGTTTTTGCAGCTAAAGATTCAGATTCAGACCTTGTTTGCTGTGTTCTCTGGATATGTTTGTGATCAACCCATCTTGCATGTATGCATGCCCCGTGCTTACTTGTCGAGTTTTTTCGCTATGTGCGCAAGTGCATGCGTGTGTGGGTGTCTCACTTTGGTGGGCTCGGATGATGTCATTGATGATTGGCCCGGGGAAGTTGTTGGAAGTCGCCTCCAACAACAATAGGAGTGCCACTGATGTTAAGAAGCAGGGGTTTTG